AAAAAAAAAAAAAAAAAAGAAAAAACAAAAAAGAAGGGTGATTTGCATAAATGTCCAAAAAGAAGATCAAAATTGGGGGACTCCCACTTTCTGGTTTTAAAATTTATTAGAGAGCTACAATAATCAAATCAGTGTCATACTGGTGTAAAGACCAACATAGAGAACAACAGAATAGAATAAGGAGCCCAGAGTTAAAACACTCACATATATGGTCTATTGACTTTCATCTAAGACTATTCAGTGGGACAAAGGACAGTCTTTTCAACAATGATTCTGGGGAAACGGGATATCTACATGCAAAACAATGAAGCTGGACCGCAACTTTATACCATATGCAAAAATTAACTCAAAATGGATCAAAGACCTCAACTGAACTAAAACACAAAACTCTTAGAAGAAAATGTACAGGAAAATTGCCATGACATTGGATTTGGCAATGATTTCTTGGATATGACACCAAAAATTTAGACAAATTGGACTTCATCAAAATTGAAAACTTTTGTGCCCTAAAAGATGCTATCAAGAGAGTGAAAAGTCTGGGGTGTCAGGTCTACTTGGGGAAATGAGCTTCAGGGTTGCTCCGTTTCATTTGTTTAATCTTTGCACTATCTCTTGATTTTTCTGTCACCAACCTGACTCCAGCTCAGTCTCTCTGGCTTGCTCCATTCCCAGGATCTCAATTATGTGCCTCTGAAATTGGACCTCTGTGGAGTAATACCTCAGCCTTTCTTATACCTGTGTGCTGGTTCATACTGGGCTGGCGCTGTCCATCATGCCAGCAGTAGGCACCAAAACTTATGAAGACCTAACAACTAGCCGGGCATGGTGGCTCATGCCTGTAATCCCAGCACTTTGGGAGGGCGAGGTGAGAGGTTCACTTGAGTCTGATTACTTCAGTCTGGGAGTTAGAGACCAGCCTGGGCAACATAATGAGATCCCATTCTACAAAAAATAAAAATAATAATAATTTTTTAAAAGGCTTAGCACTTTTTTAAAAAGGCCTAAATCCTTGACAAATCCAATCCAATGGTCCTTGATTTGTGTTTAATTCATCTAGAAGTGAAAGGTAATGCCCTTTTACTAAGGGAAACATTTAAGCAAGAAAGAGGCACCTCCATCCCTGTACTCACCCAGCCTTCTTCTTTCAAGTATAATATTTTAATAAACAACAAAGGAGCTCCACCAGGAAACCTCAAAGATCCAAGGCTGTTTCACATATTCCACATCTTTGGGGAGAGCTGAAGAGTCACTTTCAGCTTAAGATATTGTACTAGAGCCCTATTGGCTCCTGACAGGATGTTTCTAGGTTTGAAAGATACTCATGAAGAGATTTCTGGTGTGTTTGTCAAAGAACCAAAAATAT